GCAGAGCACCCAGCACAGGGCCTGGCACATAAATGACTCTAAGTTATGGTTCCTCAAGAAAAACGGGTGCAAACCTGTCCCTTGTAGAGTGAGAATGTGCTTGAGCCGTCAGCGGGAATACGATCAAGGCATCGATTTATTCAGCGAGGCAGCCCGGGAGCGAAGGCCCGTCGGCTGGGCAGGACGTGACGGGAGCCCCGCTGCGGAAGTTTGGCCTCACACTGAGTGTCCCTGGGCCCCAAAACATTCGGAGCAACAATAAAACTGGGTAATTGTGACTAACTCTGATGACCTTCCACTGACAGGTCTACCGAGAACTTAGCAGGGACCAGGCACTGTCCTTAGCATGTATGTGTATGAACTCATTCAACCCTCACACCCACCCTGTGAGGTCCTACTGCTGTTGCCACTTGGTACAGGAGGAAACTGAGGCCCGAGAGCCAAGGTCACTTCCCCAGGTCGCACAGTAGTGAGTGCTATAGCAGCACTCAGACCCAAGGGCCACCTGCCCATCTGCCCTCGCAGGCATGCTGTGCGAGCCGCCTCCGCCTGACCCCACCACCCCTGCCGCCCACGTTCACTCTGGGCTGCTGGGAGGGTCACTGGAGGCCGTGACTGTGACATTGTAGGGGGAGGGCTCACGACTGTGGCCTCACAGCTCTGCCATCTAGGCAGCTGAGGGAGGTCTGCCCCAGAACGCCCCCCGGCCGCCTGGCTCTGCCCTCCAGGGTCCTACAGACCTGTCCACTCTGCCCAGAGCAGCCCGTGGGGACTTGGAGGCGGCGACGCCGCGCTGAGCAGCGGGCTCCTGCACCCGAGCCAGGTTCTCCGAGGTCTCTGATATAGAGCTTGTGTCCCCCATAAATCACAGGCTGGTCCTGGCTGACTGCTGGCCTGAGGGACAGAGGGCGGAAGTGGCCTCCTGATTATCAATGTCCTGCCCTTTCAGGGCTATTAGCAGCTCAGTCAATAGCCCATCAGTCTGGCTAATGCCTGTTAATGTGGGTCCTCAGCACAGAACCCTCTCGGCACAGAGCAGCCCGCACAGGGGAGGGCCGAGCTGTGGGCTGGGCCTCTGGTCTGAGGCCTGAGGAGCCCACACTCAGCTCTGGGAGCAGTGTCTGAGCAGTGCCTGGCCCTGAGGCATCTCCTGGGCTGACCTGGGAGCTGTGGTCTGAATGGGGCTCTGGGCACTCTGCCTCCTGTCAGCCAAGGCCAGCCCACACTCAGCTCTAAAAAAAACTTCCGAGGCACCCTCAGGGCAGAAATTGGGGCATGGCCCTGGGCCAGTGTAGAGATAAAGGCCCTCAGAGCAACTGGGTGTGCCAGGGCCCAAGACCCAGCACTGCTCATGCCCTTTGACCCAGGAAAAGATGCAAGAGAAGGGAAAGGCTGTGTGCAGGAGGGGAGGCAGGACACTGACTCAGAAAGGGCTGAGCTACCTCAGCACCGTAAGGGCCCCACAGCTCACCGCCCTGGGCTTGGCCCTGCACACAGGACCTGGGCAAGCCCCTCCTCCAGCAGGGGTCAGGGAGAGAGTGGGGGACCCCTAGGCAAGTGCCCCCTGCAGTGGGGGTCAGGGAGAGAGTGGGGGACCCCTGGTGGTGCCTGCCACCCGCAGGGCTGGAGCCGTGCTGGGTTTTACCACTCCTGGTCTCTCAGAGCCCTTCAAGTCCTGCAGTTTTATAACATTTTTGCCTAATCCTAGAAGGACCCACCTTTTCAGAAAGTCTGGAAGTTTATCTTATACTAGAGACCCAACGCATGAAATTCATGAGTGGGTATGGTCCCTAGGCCTGGCCTGCAATCAGGGCCATCTTCCCCAGCTGCCCGCAGCTGCCCCTCCTCCCCCCGCCACCCACCCCCATTCCGCGTTTGTCATTGGGTGATCGGAGCCTGCTCTTGGGGGGGAGGAACTGAGAGGCTGACTGTTCTGCCTGCTCACCAGCCCCGCCCCCGCTGCAGGTCGCCCTCTGTGTATGGGGTGACTAGTGGGGTGGGGCCTTGGCCTGGTGCCCCCTGCATCCCCCACCACCCATCCCCGATTCCCCATTCACCATCGGGTGACCGGAGCCTGCCAGCTGGGGAAAGGGACTAAGAGGTGGTCAGTGGCCTCATAGTGACTGGTCGAGCGGTTGTTCTGGTCATTCCGTCATTAGGGTCAATTTGCATATTACCCTTTTATTACATAGGATACCTTTTTAAAACTGTAAAATTTACAGGTTTTATAGAACGTTTGGGGAAATTTTTTTTTAAGACAGAGAAGATGATAAAAAAAAACCATTCATTTATCCCACCATCTAGAGATAACCATTAATAACATTTTGGAGTATTTTTGTCCAGCTGTTTTTTCTCAGTTTTGATATACACATGGACGTGCGTACACACCCACACATATACACATAATAATAGCTGCTCTTATTTGAGCACTTAAACCCGTCGGGATATCACCAGTCAGCTTTCCTCTCACAGTAGCTCACTTTACCCCCATAACAAGGAAGAGATGATTACTCACTCATTTTATAGATGGGGAAAGGTAAAGTCTGAGCAGGCACGATCAGATTTCAGTTCTTGAAAGCTCACCCGATGACAGCGTGCAGGACCAGAGCCTGGGCGAGAGGTCCGCGGCTGGACCCCCGGTGCCGTGCAGACCTGAGCCAGGGCCGTGGGTGCAGGGTTCTCGCTGCAGGGCCCTGGCTCCAGGTGCTGCCCCAGCTGCAGGGGGCGGGGAGCACGCCCTCTCCTCCCTGTCCAGGGACCCTGTTTTTCAGCCGTGGAGAAGGCAGGACCAGCAGGAAGAAATGGGACTGTAGGCCGCCTCTTCACACATCACTATCAACACCTGTCCAAATTCTTTCGCTCTCTCTCTGAATGGGTATGTGAGGGTATATTTTTTCTGACTTCTTTGAGGGTACGTTACATACATCTTACATACATCTTTGCCCTCTACCCCAGCAGAATTGAGTGTCTTTGGGGATATTCTCTAACATATCCACAGGACGTTATCAAGTTCACATTGCAATTGTACTTTAATCCACAGTCCATTTTCCAATTTGTCAAGTGACATCCTTTATAGAGTCCCCCCTCCAGTAAAGGACCCGTTCCAGGTGAGGTGTCTGGTACCCTTCTCGAGGCAGGAGAGCGGAGCTGGGCAGTGTATTTCTGAAGGAGAGCCCAGGACCACCGCCTCTGTTTGCAGACCTACTATGATGCATGCATAAAGCCCCCACAAGCCAGGGGCTCGGTTGTCTGTCTCCCAGTTTGCCTGATGTGGCGGGGAAGCCTTGTGTCTGTTCTCATAGCAGCTGCCCTCCCGCGGTCGTATTAAGCAAGGTCAGAGACCACCACAGTGTCTGCTCAGCCGCGACTGGGCAGTCGCAGGATGTCCCACAGGGCGCAGTGCCCCCTGCAGGGTTGGGGAGGTGCGGGGAGGAGAGAGGTGGCTATTCTCTGAGTTCACCCTGTCTTGAAAGTTCCTTTTTTAAAATCCTGAGACTGTTGGCTCTGTGAGGTCAAATACTACAACTTGTGTTCACCCAGCACCTCGCAGAGTGCTGTCTCCTAGGTTCCTCCTAAAGATTTGCTGAATGAAGGGATGGGGGCCCGTTTTCCTCTCAGCTGTCTCTTTCACTCAGGGAGCAGTCGGGGGGCATTCTGGTGGGTGGGCTCCCGAACCCGAGGCCGATGATGTGTGTGGGCCACCCTGCACGGGCGGGCGGAGGGCCTGGCCCAGCTCCGTGTGCTGCCGGGACCGGGCAGGGTGGGGCGTAAAATGAGTGTGCTGGTCGCTGCCAACTCCCTGAACCCATGCGGTTCTATGCCTGAACCCATGTGGCGCCCGTGGCCCAGGAAATACCCCAGTGTGTCATTGGATAGTGGTTGGGATTTTCAGCTTCAGGGCTTCATGCCGTGCGCTCTGGGGCCTGGGTGTCCCCCAGCACCTGCACAGAATTCTCAGCAGAAAAGGGGAGAGGGGAAGGGGAGGTCCTTTCTCTTTAAGTGAACTATAATTCACATACCATAAAACTCGCCATTTTAAAGTGTAGGAGCCAGTGGGTTTTAGTATTTTCCATGGTTGTGCATCCACCACTCTCTAATTTCCAAGTAGCTTCATCACCCCAGAAAGACGCCCAGTACCCATTAGCAGTCATTCCCCATTGCCTCTCCCCGAAGCCACTCACCTGCTTTCGGTCTCTGTGGCTTTACCTGTTCTGAACTTTTCATATGCCTTTAGTCAGGGGTTTGAATGCCAGGTACCAGAGGATGTGATAATATGCTCAAGCAATGAAACCACCTCTGGTGTATCATCTAAGTGGCTTTTGATGTCTGCCTGATTCACTTAGCATGTTTCCAATTCCATCCATGTTGTAGCATGCATCGGTACTTCATTCTTTTTGGACTGAATAATATCCCATTGTATGAACACACTGCCTTTTGTATACCCTTTCATCTGTTGATGGACGTTTGGGTTGTTCCCGCCTTCTGGCAATTTTGAATAATGTTGCCGTGAACATTGATGTACAAGTTTTTTTATAGACCCATGTTTTCATTTCTCTTGGGGATATACCTGGAAGTGAAATTGTAGGGTCGTATGGTAGCTAAGTTTACCCTTTTGGGGACCTGCCAGACTGTTTTCCAAGGTGGCGGCACCAGTTTTGCCTCCCCGCCAGCAGTGTGTGCCAGGAAATGTCCTTTTATCGAACGCCTCCTACGTGCGAGGCTCTGTGCTGGACCCTTTCCACACCTCGCCTCCTCTGACCCTCACGCCAACCCTGTGAACCACCTGTGTCCTTTTCCTGAGGGAGGCACTGAGGCTCAGAGCAGGGATGTGACTCCCCCAGGGTCACACCGGGAAGAGTGGTGAGGCCCCGAGTCACACCCAGTTCTGCCCCTTACGTTTCCCTGTCTACTCAGCGATTGCTGACTGAATGAGTGACCGGCAGATGCTCAAGTGGAATTAGCCCCCTCTCCCCTCACTCCTCCCGGGCATTGTTTTGCAGACAGGGAAGTTGGACCCCCACTACCCAAAGGTCTGCGGGCACAGAGGGAACGTCTTAGACATCAAGTGGAACCCTTTTGACGACTTTGAAATCGCCTCTGCTTCTGAAGATGCCACGGTGAGTATCGGCACATAAGGCTGTTCCCTGACCAACAG